TGTCGCAATACAGACTTACTCAAACTAACCCAAAATAACCCGTCCACCTAGTACGATCTAGTCCTCGTAAGCATTTTATTTAAAAAAGCAAAGTTAATTCACTGATTGCTCAGGGTCTCTTGAGAGCGCAGTATTTTTTAAATAAAATGCTTTGTTGCCTTTATTGATTTCAAGCGTGCTTTTGATAGCGTTAAACACTCACTACTTTGGAGAAAACTCCATAGTTTTGGGGTTCCTCCCTCCTATATAAACATCTTAATTCAGATTTACTGTAACGCTTCAGCTAAAGTAAAATGCTCTGACGGACTTTCAGACCCAATTGGAATAAGTGAAGGCGTACTTCAGGGAGAACCACTATCCCCTTTTCTGTTTTTACTGTTTCTCTCTGATATCATACAGTTTTTTGAGGGTAAGGGAGCTAGGCTAATTAATATTGATAGTGTTAATGAACTTTTTATGCTGCTCTATTGTGACGACCTAATTGTTTTCGGGCTTTCAGAACGAGATCTACAATGCAACCTGAATATCCTGGCTGAGTATGTACAGGAGAACAATTTGGCAGTCAATGTTGCAAAGTCCAAAATAATGTGTTTCAGGAGAGGGGGTTTTCAAGCTAGTTACACCAAAAGATTTATTTTCAAAAACGAACCCCTTGAAATTGTAAATGAATATACATACCTTGGAGTCACTTTCACTGCATCTTCTAAATTTCGAATTATGGCAGACAAATCTGTCTCAAAATGCAAACAGGCCATTGGCGCGGCAGTTTCACATCTATCAAAGTCTAAATCATTTTCAATTACTTCAAGACTTAAAATATTTGAAACGTGTGTACTTAACATAATGTCTGGGTCCGCACCCATCTGGGCCCTAAGATATCTAGACGTCCTTGAACAGATACAAACATCATTTCTCAAAAAATCTCTTTCCCTGCCTAAAAGCACCTCTTCAGCCATACTTCGCCTGGAGTTTGGCGTTTCTCCTATAGCGACAACTATACTTAAATGGACTCTCAACTTTCTCAAAAGGTTGCTCTCTATGGATGAAAGCAGATTACCCTTAATTTGCCTTAAAAGGCAACTACAGCTTATCGACTCGCCGCTAGCATATAACTGGCTATCGCAACTCAAATTGGTACTTACTGGAACAGGTTTTGATAATATTTTGATTAATAATTTAACACCAAGATTTGTAACTAGACGAAAAATCGATCAAATAATTGACAAATACCGAGAGCTATCCTTTCGGAAAGATATTGCTTTGGCTAGAGATTCCAGTTATATGACCTTTTATCCATTTTTATCAATAACAAAAAATCCAGCTACTTATTTAACATTTAGAGTACAAACATTTGTTTTGAAACTCATAGCGCAAACAAGACTTGCCAACAAATACCTATGTGCTTTTACCTTTAATTCTATCCTCTATAAACTTGACCCCCGCATAATATGTACAGTTTGTAACACCTCTGAACTAGAGACATTAGACCACATTCTTTTCAGATGTCCAATGTATAGAGAAGTCAGACCATTAACATGGTCGAGCCCTGACTCATTTCTCAATTTACTTGAAACCTTAGCTCCAGTATCTGCCAAAACATTTGCTTCCACCATAATGTCATTCCTCAGGCTTCGATCCTTTTTGATATCGCAGGATTAGAATTTGTTAGAAATATCAACTTTCTCTCTTTTTTTTGTTGTATAGACCCCTTCCATAGGTACTTTTATTAGGCACCAAAATGTGAACCCTTCTGGTTTTTAGCTTATACATAGAAATACAAGTAACTTTATCTTTCGCTTTGTAATTAGATTAAGATTATTTAGATTATTATTATTTTTTGTTCGTTTCTAATAACAAATACGTATCCAAATTCAAAACAAATTATATTCCCTCCTTTATAAGTTTATTTTTGCTTTTGTAATTCAAACCACTACGTTTACTAGATTTAGAGCACTCATTGTTATAGAAAATACTTTCTGGAAACAATAAAAATTGAATTGAATTGAATTGAATAAAATGCTAACTCACGAGGACGAGATTGCCCTAGACGGACGGGTTAGTTTGTTAAGTCTACATAATTTTGATTAATATTGGAAAAATTTGATGTTTCCCTCTTTTGCTTAGAGGTCGTCGTTGTAAATCACTCTTTTAATTTGTCACTGTTCTGAATCTCGTTCTTTACATATGTCGCTCTTTTGATATGTTGCTGTTTTTTTTTAGATGTCGCTGTTCCAAATGTCGCTATTTTGATATATCGCTTTAACAATATGTCGCCTTTTTGATGTTGCTATTTTAAATATCGTTCTTTTGAACCGGAGCCACCGAAAATATCTTGTATTTTGGAAAACGATCTTCAGTTCTCGTAGTAAGGCACTTCGCGTTCTTGGCCAATCGCGCTTTATCCAGCTGCGTTTTTGTTCTGTCGCGCTTTTGTCCCCTCGCGCTTTGTCGCTCGCGCTTTTGCTTCTAGCGCTTTTATCCAGTCGCGTTTTTGTGCAGTCGTGCGCTTTTGTCCCTCGCGCTTTTGTTCCTCGCGCTTCTATCCAGTCGCGTTTTTGTCCATCGCGCATTTGTCCTGTCGCGTTTTTGTTCCGTCGTGATTTTGTCCCTCGCGCTTTTTATATCGCACTTTTCTCCCTCGCGCAAATGACACAGATCCCATGCATAAACTGGCATTTTTTAATTGTTGATTTCAACCAATCAGATTACGATTACGTGATAATTTGTACTAGTGCAAGATTATCGGATTGGATAATTGCTTAACTAACGGGTGGCATTTGACATTTTTTCTGATTGGTGACATTTTATACTTACGAGGATATACTAAAAATTTAAATTTTTGATTCATGAAATTCTCTCATAAAATACAACTCGAGCAATGGAAATATATCGATAATTTTTGAGAAATTGGCTCTCATGCATTTTTAACTGGAAAAGGCACTCTCGTCCCTCGTGCTTTTTTTCAACTAAAAATGCATTCGGGAAAATTTGCCAAAAATTATCGATAATTTCCATTTTATTCCAATTTAATTTTATTTCTAATTTTATTTTATTTTCTGTATAAATGAGCACACGATATTTCGCTTTCTGATTTTTGAAATCTATAAGGCCTCCAATAGAGTTTTCCTAAGCTAAAGAAAAAAAAAACTGAAAAACTATTTTCAAAAAATTTAGAAATAAATATTTGTTCCAACAAATGTTGAGTTTCACTAATTAAAATATACTTACAGGGTGCATAAAAATCAAGGGTGGGAGATCATTTATAACGGAACACCCTTTTACTCACCTAATTTTATACTGCCATTCGTTTTTTGTGACGATGTCGGTCTAACTTAACGGCAACCTTGCGAAACACAAGTTTTTTTCAAACACGATTTTTTCATGGAGAAAAAGAGCGGCAAATTTTTGGGTTTTCATATTTAATTAGCGGCAAAAAGCGGCAAATTTCCACAGCTTTTCTCTATCACTCCATTTTTCTCTACCGACATTTTTAATGATACTGTTTTGCTCACTTGATGTCAACTTAGCGAAACACAGCATATTTTTTTCAAACGCGATATTTTCCACTCACTCAATTTATCACTACCGACATTTTTAGTGATCTCGCTAACTTTACGTTAAATTAGCAAGACATTATTTTATTTTCGAACACGATTTTCTTATGAAAAGCAAGGTAGCGGCAAATTTTTAGTTTTCACATCTAATTAGCCGCAGAAAAACGGCAAATTTCCATTCACTCAACTTATCACTACCGACATTTTTAGTGATTGTCTCGCTAACTTGACGTCAAGTTAGCGAAACACATGATTTTTTTTGAAACTTGATTTTTTGTAAAAAAAAAGAAGCGACAAATTTTTGGTTTTCACAACTAATTAGCGGCAAAAAAACGGCAAATTTCCATTCATTCAATTTTTCACTACCGACATTTTTAGTGATATTGTCTCGCTAACTTGACGTCAAGTTAGCGAAACAAATGTTTTTTTTTTTCAAACTTGATTATTTATGGAAAAAAAAAGAACCGGCAAATTTTTGGTTTACACAACTAATTAGCGGCAAAAAAACGGCAAATTTTCATCTACCTAATTTTCTACTGCTGACATATTTAGTGATGTTGTCTCGCTATCTTGACGTCAAGTTAGCAAAACACGTAATTAAGAAAAAACCAAAAGAGCGGCAAATTTTTTAATTCCACATTTAATTAGCGGCAAAAAAGCGGCAAATTCTTGGCATAACGGAAAATCGATTTTTCGAAGTTGTCTCGCTAAGTTGATAGACATAACATTGATATAGATGGTATAGTACAGTACTATGGTACATTTCATATTATTCCATTGCTAGACAAATATGATAGTAAAAGAGGAGTATAACTAAATAAATATGTTTGATTTGGATAGAGTAAAATTAAATAATCCTCATCACTTTACTTTAAAAGTTGTAACCAATGTAAGATTTGAGTTACGGACAATTTGTGTGGCACCTATAGTATTTCTGTACTATTGGGTCTTTTCAGCAGTTTACTTCCCTAAACTTCCTAAACTGCATTTCAAAAATCAGTTTGTTTTGTTGAAATATACAGAGGACATCTTGATTGGGAGACTTGGAACTGCCATAGACTGTTGAACTGTGATATATGAAGGATGTGTTAGGAAATTTTTTGCTACATTGAACATGCTAGGTCGATAAGAATTGAATTGAATGGCAGGGAGTGAAGGCTAGAGAAGGGGATATTTTTTAGATAGAAGATAAGATTTCTCAAACTTTGAAATGAGGCAACAAGAGAGCTCTTGCTCCTTGAACAGTTCAATCCTTCACCAATACCAAGATTATGAAGCAGCACTAACTGCTTTTCACCCCTGTTCAGTCCTCATTAGATAACCATGTACTTGTAGCAGAGCAGTTAAAACAAGTACCTGCTACTGTACCATTAACTATATGGTAATGTAGATTTGTAGCAAATTTTCTAAATAAAGGTGCAATCATTATAAAAGGTAGACTCGTACCAATATATCAGCAGCTGTCATGTCCAGAACTATACAATATCCTCCAACAAAGTCCATAGCATTGCATTCATTGGCTCTTTTGCATTTTTGTCCAATTACGACTGCAAGCTCTATTTCTTCATCGACTGACAAACCTTTTGGTATCTAGATAATATAGGAAATTCATGTTTGCAGTACGTTATCACAGTGGTAATCTGAAAAACTAATATAAAAGTTTGATTTGATCTGGAATGTTATATGTTTGTGTAAGTTAAAAATCCAAAATTGGGCAAATGAATATGGAGTTGAAAAAAATGATTTAAATTTATTTATTTATTCAGCGATAGTCCGCAATGTACTACACAAATATACTACAACTTAATGTAGATACAAATAAATAAAAGAACCCTTACAGCAATAACCTTGCTGTAATAAATCCTCCCCTGTCAAATAAGATAAGGTGCACTATAGTACTTAGAATACTGTGTGTGCACTGTGCGCCTGCTTTCCTTGATAAATTAAACTTACTTAGTTGAGGTTATCTACCTCTACTTTACTACTCTAACAAGTCAACAGCTATAAACCATAACAATATGGTATGGATTTCAATGTGTTTCTCAGATTCTTGTGTGGTTTTTAATGGGAATGGGTACAGGTATTTCTTTAGTTCCTGAAGGCTAATATAATATTGATTATTTCAAAGTGGAGTATTATAGACTATCATTAGCAACAATCCATGCATTCAAATACAACTATTACCTACTACCTACTCACTATAATTTTCTGACCTTCAGTGATATAGGAGCTAATAGGCTTCATAAAAATTTCAGGAACTTCTGGCTCAGGTTTATTGAGGGCTTTAAGTAGAGCTCTAGAAGTAAATATGGATTTTACTTAGGAGTATTTTAAATAAACGGCTAGTATTTATATCCTATTCACAATCTGTAGTCCAAAGGTACAGGTAAATTTATCACCTTTCCCTATCAAATAGCATTGAAAGGTGATAAATTTTACCTGTTCCTTTGGACTACAGATTGTGAATAGACATTAGAAAATAATGTTAATTAACTACCTGTAATTAGCTGCAGCTGCTATACATTTGGTCCCATTTTTCACAAAATTTTCTAGGGTTTGAGACATTACATTACCGCACGATCCTTTCCTTTCAACCGAAATGAGTTTCCTGTTTTATTTATTATATAACAGAGAGAACCTTGAAGCCAAGCAATGAAGGAATGGAAAAAATACTTAAATTTATTTATATCTACAGTGAGAGTGGCGAGAGTCAGGTTATTTTTATTAGCAAATTTTTCTTGTAAACAAAAACACGGATAATTTTGATTATTTGTGAATTTTACCAGCTGTCATCTGTCAGTTGTCAGTTCTAGACTGAAATTCAAAAATTTCAGCACGTCATATACATGGTTGCCAAGACAAATAATGAGCTTATTCAAGCAAGCGAATGTTAAATGACGTCACGAGTACGCTCTTCACTTGGTTATTTTAGGTCGGAAAACTCCGGAAAAGTACTCTATAATTATTATTTTTTTTAAAGTGATGTCAATTTAAATACTAGGAGAAAATAGTGACGTCACGTTGATTAGTGCTGGATTTTATTTTCCTGTTGGCAACCCTGGCAAAAATCAATTCGTTGTCACCTGTCACTCAGACACGTAAAAACCCCGGGCTGTCATTGTATTGTGTCAGTGTCATTCTTCTAGTAGGTACACTTCATCCGGGAAGTGTACTTATTATTTGTGTAGAGCATTTTCTCCTACAAGATTGTTTTAAAAAAAGTTCTCTTTCTGGAAAAACTATGTGGAAGTGACCGATAAAAGTGCGTGCTAAGTGTTTTCGAAAAGGCGCACCATCAGGATTCAGTTTAAGCTAGAGAAAAACGAACTTTAAAAATGATCAAAATGGAAACGGATAAGATCGAAGATGTTACAGGCAACAATACACAGGTAAACTTGTTTATTGACCCTAATTAGTTTAGGATCATGATAAGTAAGATTTCAAGACTGGCACCCAATTTATTGTTTTCGAAAATTTCACAACACAATTCCAGGAAATTCATTAAATACAGTAGGCTGTGTTTTTTTTTGTTGTAAAAGTTAACTGTCATCCATCTGTCAACCCTAGCCTTGCTTTTCTTGCCTTTTGCTTCCTACTAGAAAGTCTAAAATTTCTTGTTTGGTGATTCATATTAGTTGAATTATTAATTAGTATTTGTTTCGACATTGCCACGATTGTTCTTTTTATGTAACAATAAAAACTAGCAGAAGATTCATTTAAGTGGAACACCACAGAACCTCTTGTTTGTAATGTCCCATACCTACCTGTCTAACTGTAATTTAAGTTTTTATTTCTCTTTGCCTGTAAAACGAGTGACATTCTAATAATAAACGGTCTCTTTGTTAGCAAAATCGTTCCTGTCTTTACTCTTTACTGTTAAAAGATGTGTTGTGGTGGTGCTGACCTTTTTAGTTAGTAGCAGAAACAGATTTGTAGAAGGTAGAAGTTTCTTTTCTTGCACAACTCTTTGAAGGTTTGTTTGGTAATCCTGTGTGGCTTGGCTTGGTTTGTTGGTATTTTATTTCTTAATTAATGATTATTCAATTTGTTTGCTTTTTATAATGTTGCCTATAATTAATAATTAATAGAATGTTGTATTGGTTGTAACGGTAAGTGAAACGAAATTTCAATCCTTTTCCATATTACCTTATTGAGATCCAAATCACAGATACATTTTTTCAAGCAGTCTTTATACTGTAATCTTTCTAATTTTAATATAGTAATTTATGCATACAATTTCCAGAAAAAGTAAAGCAGCAAATCATTTTATTCCAATCTAAAAACAACCTCTCATGACAAGAGTCAAGTAATGATAAACCCAGAGGCTTTAAAAATCAATGTTAAGATGAAAAATCTTCAACAAACCCAGACACATTGATAAGTGGTTAATTAACTCATTATTGCCAACAGTTTGTTTTGTGTTTTAACTGCATAAAAATGAAAGAATTGACCCGAATTAGCTGTCGAGATAATACTAAATTTAATTCCAGGAAATACTCTTATACCATGTGCATATAAGCAACTTTTTGTTTTGTCCTCCTCTTTGCTGATGTGTATGCTGTCTGTTTTAAAACTGTTCTAAATTTAGTTACGTTACATTATCTACTATAAGCTGTAGATAGGATGTTTCACAGACAATGGCAAGTTGAGCATTGAAATTAGTGCTTATATTTTGTTTTTTTGTTTTTAATATATAGGTATGCTCGCAGGTATGTTATGTAGCTGTTGCTCTCTATTAATGTATTTTTGTTTTTTTCCTTTCTGTACGTAAAAGTAACTGGCCAATTTCAGTTGAAACCTTGGTAATAATCAAGGTAATTATGAGGGTAATTATTATTATGCCAAACTTCTTTTTTTTATAGCTACAATATTTTAAGGAAGGCACTTATTAAGTTCCGAGTTAAGTTCTTATTCACTAATAAAAAAGAAATTAGGCATCAAATAAGAAAGTTTGGCCACTTTGCAAACAAATATCCTTGATGCATACTTTATAAGTATAGAAAATGCTCAGAAAAATGTTAGGGCTTTGACATATTATCTAAATACAGTCGGGAGGCGGTCAACTTCTTCAAAATGTGTACACCGATTTAAAATTATCATTGATTTTAACTGATTTAGGAGATTTGATTGGATTTAAGAGATTTTTATGTAAGCTTTAACTGAGTAGTAGTAAACAATATTTATTGAACTAATTGTTCAAAGGGCCATCGACCGAGGTCTTTCAGCCTTTGATATCTACAATTTTATATGTATTTACAAAATTTGCTAAGTATAAGTATAAAACAGATAAATCCACATGCGATGGAGAAAAAAAAAATTATAATAATTAAATGAACAATGCAAGTACGTACAACACAACTATGTACTTATGTTAGCTTTTTACAGTCTATTATTTTGTATAATTTGGAAAACAGTTTCTTCTGGATATTGTCTTTTCCTGATAAGGCCTTGTGGAATTTCCAAAATGAATGGACTGATTATCGCTATGTTGGATGGTCTGCTGCCAAACTTCTCGGTAAGACTTTGAAATCTTTGAATGATTGGTTCAATTTCAGTTTTTTGATACAACATTTCATTTGCTGGATTATGAAGCGGGTTTGTAGGATGTCCGATTTTTGTAATTTTACGGAGACTAGTTTGCAGTTTCTATTATCTGGATGGCAGGTCCTCTACAAGTACTGAAAATTATTTGTCCGTATTCCAAAATTGGTCTGCATATTGTTGTGTAGATGTGACATGCAGTTTTGATGTTAATACCCTCGTCCTTGTATGTTAGGTTTCTAAAATGCTTGCTCCTTATTATTGTCTTTTTCTTCATCGTTGACAGGTGATATTTGAAATTTAATTTATTGTCGAAATGCATACCCAAGTATTTGATGTGAGATTGTCGATTGAGGGGGTATTCGGTGGTTGAGAATATCTAGTTTTGGTGAAGCGTCGCTGATCTTGTGATGAAATATTATAAATTGCGATTTTTCAGGATTTACTTCCAGTTTCCACCTATCTAACCAGACAATCACTCTGTTAAGTGCTATTTGTAGAGATTGAACAGCTTGTATATTCTTATGGTGTGATATAATAGCGGTATCGTCTTCAAATTGTATGATATATGGACTTGCAACTGTAACCTGGTTTGTTGGAGGGAAGATGTCGTGACAATAAATATTATAGAGCAAGGCTTCCGTTTATTTTTACCACATTTTTTCGATGCTCCAGGAACTTCTTAACAAGCCATATCAGGTATCTTGGACATTGTAACTGGTAGAGTTTCAACAGGATACCTCTATGCCAAACTGTATCAAATGCCTTTTTAATATCTAAAAACGTCGCCGCACTTCTGAAACCCATAACATTTGCTGACTGTATGTTTGATGTTAGAATGGATAGTGGAGTGACCTTGCTTGAAACCGAACTGATGCCCAGGTATGTTTCTTCCTATTTCACGGTTTATTCTGTTCCGTACAATTTTTTCAAGATTTTTTCCTTAAACTGGCAAAAGGGTAATTGGTCTGTAGTTTTCCACTCTGAAATGGTCTACGTTCGGTTTGGGTATGGTTATGACTGTGACTTTTTTCCAGGTATTTGGAAAGTAGCCATTAGTTAGACAGTAGCTGTAAATTTGTTTTATTTTTGTGTGGATTTCTGGGCTGAGTTGTCTTAAAATATTACAGTTGATGTTGTCGTAACCTGGAGCGGTGTTTTGCCCTTCAGCTATGACCTGTATGTATTCATCGTCCTCGATTTGTATATCAGCTCTGCGTAGCTCGCCTGAGAAAAAATCATCAAACCATTCGTTGACAATTTCAGTTTGGTCGTCCCCTTCATTCTTACTGTTATCCATAAAAAGATTTTCATAGTACTCCGTAAAGGCATTAGCTTTATCGAGGTCGCTGTCCAGAACCGTGTTCCCTTGTTGTATCATTGGGATTGGTGATTTTGCTGCCTTATATTTACTCAATTTTTTAATTTCAGTCCAATAGTTTTTTCCATTGAGTCTATTTATGTTATTGCAGCATTTTATCCATTTGTCTTGTTTGAACTCTCCAATCAGTTTGTGTATTTCTTTATTTAAATCATTGAATTGCCTTTTTAGGTTTGAGTCATTGTCATTTTGTTTTATTTGTCTATAGAATTGGCGTTTTTTCTTAATTAGTGCTACTATGAAGGAAGGAAGTTCATAGTTAAATCTTTTTTTCCTTAATTTTGGGGAATTCGATGTAACTAATTCCGACAATTTCTTATTAAATTCTTCGATAAAGTTTCCATTAATTTCTTCTTCTTCATGTAAAAACTCCCCTAGCTTCTGATTTACAACATCCATGTTACATTTTTGTATGTTATATTTTGTTTCTTCTTTGTAGTTATCTTCTGGAGGTATTGTAGCATCCAGAGTCCATAGTATACTGAGATGATCACTTCCTAGGTCTGATGTTAATGAAGTATTAATGTTTTTCTTAATATTCTGAGTGCATAATATTATATCAGGTGTGCTGCTTGGGTTGTTCGTCATGATAAATGTAGGTGGTGTGTTGATTCTAACAAAATCGGAGCAAGAAGAAATTCAACTGTTGTTTTTTTCCAGCATTTGGGTTGAAGTCTCCAATTATGACACGGTATTCGTATAGTGCGGCTTTTGTAAATATGGTTTCTTCTATGCTTTAACTGATTTAAGGTAATTTAAAGATTTTTTTGATCATTTAAAAAGATTTGCAGATTTAGGTTTAGGAAGGTTTAACCTGATTTAAAAAGATTTAAATGGATTTAAATTTTTTTTTAATGATCTAAACTGATATAACCTGGGATGATTCAAGGTAAATAATTGAATCCTAAAAAGATAAAAATTTATCTAATAACCTAGTGATGCCGCGAGACAAGACTAGGCGAGACTTAGGGTTGGTCTCAGTCTCGAGTACCAAAGTCTCGTCTCGTCTTGAGTGGTCTCGTCTGGTCTCGAGTTATACAGGGTGCTCAAAAAATAGCGTGAAAACTCTTATCTACATGGAGGAGGACCCTACAAGGAACCCCAGAAAAATACTTTAAAAAATCTAGTGACATTCTTAAGAAAATTATTTGCATTCTAATATTTATTAAAATTGGCAACACTGAAAATATCCCGTTGAAAATATGTCAGAGAATTAAATTAAATACCCATGTAATTACCTGAAGAATTCGAAGGTAAATTTTCATCTACCTCTTCATATTACCAAAAATAATGCTGGAGAAGGATTTTTTTAATTTAATTATTTTTCTAGGGTTTCTCAAAGAGTCCCCTACTACGTGGAGAGCTTTTACGCTATTTTTGGGACACCCTGTATTTTTGGTATTCTTTTTTATATTATAACGGAAGTTCAAACTGCCACAGTGAAAAAGCAATTAGTGAAAAATCACA